GTAAGTTAATGCTTGCAAACGCTTTCTTCACTATTCAGAAATAAATTTGACTCTCTGAGTGGGTGTTATTAAAAAAGAAACATAATTTGTTTGTTTTTATTCTTTAATTCTGTTTCATTTTGTAATGCCGTAGTCATTATATCATTAAATTGTATAAATTGCCGAGAGCAATAATCGTAAGAAACAAAAAAGCTTTTAACTAAATGATTCAAACGACAAAGACATTTTGTCTCAAATTCACTCATCATACTGGCCGCCGATAAAGTTCACCAAAAAAAAACGAAACATCGTTATCTTAATTTGAATTATTGAAAAATCGAATTATGTTTCTTTTTTACTGGGCGGTTTCTGCCCACACTTCAATTTGAGATTAGAATAATGTAGTTTAAATTCAAGGCTTTTTGTAATTAGTTAGTCATTTCTATGCCCTGGAGTAAATTATGAGTTAACGTTTATCATTGATCAATGTTTAGAAAATATTCTAAACAAACGACACTACAAACTGTTTTTGATGTTTTTATCAAAACGAGACGAAAACATTAGGTAACCTTCTTCGAATTTAGCCCAGACTCGTGTATCTGTCACCAGCATCATTTAACACGACGCGACGCGTGACGTGTCGTCTGTAAAACACAATTTTCCCTCTCGAATTCTTGCTGTGTCTACAAAAAGTGTCATGAATGAGAGTTTCACACTTGGATTAATAACACTAATCTATTATTACACGTGCTTAGGCCATTGCCGCAACGAGCAGACGCGGTGCAGCCACGCGACGTTCTATTTTCAAATTATTACAAAGCGTCGAGCGCGTTCCGATTAATTTGTCATAGTATCATCGCGTCCGCGTCCGCGGCAAGGGAATGTTTATTTTTATTACAAACAGCGTAATCTTCATCTTGGTGAAAGATTTATAACACGTAGCGGTTAAGGCAATTATAATGGTGGGCGCAGTGCAGCGGCACAGGAATGTAGCGTATTTGTTGCTGGCGACGGTTTTTTCTTCATTTTGTTTAAGTTGTTGCGGAAATTAATGTTTGTGTTCGTAATTGTCGTGTCAAGTTGTAGAAATTTAATTTGTATGATTTGTTGCCGTGGTTGTTCATTTTGTTTCTGTTGGTACAACAGCTGCCTTTGCTTATTCATGGGAAATTATCTTTACTTTGTACGTGTTTCGAGCGCTTTTGTTTTAAGTTAGCATTATTTACAGATTCCCCGAAGCCAAACACGGAAAATTTTAAAACAACAAAGCCTTACGTTTGTTCTCGTTGTTTTATTTGAGAAGCGGTGATTGTTGAGGAGGATATAATTACATATTATTTTCAATCAATACTGGGAAGGTGGCTGGCGTGTCGATAATGTCGGGTATCGGCGGCCGCTAGAGGTGTGATACCGCCTAGAGCTGAGCTACACTTGGATAGCACCGCGCTGACGCCTAGCACACCACTAAGCTATAAGCGGTAGCGATCTTATCAACTTAACTATCACGTTTATAGTATTAAAGCTTTTTATTACTTTATTCTTTGCATACGTACACTTGTTTGAAAAATAATATTAAATTAATAAGACCGTAGACAAATAAAATAAGACTAACCTAACAACTACAACCGCGACGATGTCTATATTAATTAAAATCGCCAACGTCTGTAACTCGGACCTGGCCCTAAATGCATAATTCTATGTGTAGAGTCACGAACGATGACTTTTAATAGTAATGTGATGGGATCAGCGCAGGCGCACGGCTAATGCGTTCGTGTGCTCTAAATCATTAAGTAGATCGCCTTGCTGGGAACTTTGAGCACCGATCTATGTATTATACCTGCATTATATTATACTTATGTTGATGTAAAATGCTTTAGAACTTTTTATACTTGATATGGTTTGGGCTTGTCTTAAATTTATTTCACGGACCGGGAAAATCTTTATAAAGAGAAGGTATTCTTGAAAACAACTCATCTCATATTAGATATTTTGCCCTGTTCGGAAACCTCTCGAACATAACGATGACGTCGGCGGAGGCAGCATTGACGGTGGCATCAGAGAGGGGCAGCACTGCGCGGGGAGCAACTATGCACCTACAAGGATCGCGGCTTGCACTTTTCACCCGATCATCTGTGAGCACTGTACGCTTCGCGCACCGTCTATTAATTTTTTGTTAAGGCTTTGACTGCCGACAGAAAGCTGTTGAAGGTAAATCCTCCGCTAGCGTGGCCCATACGTTGTCCCCCATGGCGTTCAAGGTATTAAGCACGTACTGACTTAGGTACCCTTGAATAAACCAGTACCTATATTTTGAAATCAGCATCATCATTTATACAGCCCAAGAAATCTCCCTAACAGCCCGATGCTGGAGTCCCCTTGCTCAGCAGTCAAGTTTGCTACAACTCAACTGACGTGACAATCATTAAACCTACGATTACAATGCAGTTTCAAAGCTACATCGATATATTGAAAACTAAAGGTGGCACTTCAGTTGCCGTATCTAGTAATAAATCTGATCAGATTATCTACGTCGTTTATAAGCTGTGAGACAATGGCGGCCACTTACCGGCCTATCAGCCGATCGCACAGATAACTAAGCTTGTTTCTATTAACTACTCTTAATGTATGCTCATTATAAATCTTAGTTTCTGTGTCGTCAGTAGTACGTTTGTAGAGGATGATTGATGAAAATAGTCCTTATTTATATCGGTACAAAGATGATTTCTCTGAAGCAATTCACTGAATTAAAGGCGCCGTGATAAACTTTTTTTTTTGTAGGTAATAGTAAGACTGTCAATTGCTACTCTTCTTTTGCTTATTAGTCTCTCCAACTTTTGCCGTCACTTAATTACCAAAACTATATAATTTTTTTGAACAGTTTTATTTCGCTTGCCCCGTTTATATGTCTGGGTCAAAAGTAATGAACTCTTAAATATTCTAGTTACTTATGGCCGATTGTAATAAGTTGTAAGTAACTAAACTGGAAAACATGGAAAATAATTGAGTGCGCATGTAATTGCGAATTTTGAGAATATTATTAAGAAGTCCTCTCTTCCGATAAGAGTGAGAACAACAGCAGAATAAATAGCAAAATTAAAATATGCTCAATAAATCTATAAGCAAAGCCTACAGCTGGAGATAGTCACAACAAATAATTTAATTCCAGCGACATTAAAAGACAGAATTAATCAAATAAATCGATTTATAATGAACAAAGCAGCCATTGAAACTTGGTTTTATCTGCTTGATTTACGGATGCAGTTAACCTTCTGACCGGCTTGCACAGTGGTACCACCCAGATGGACACGTGCATAAATTCTTCATACTCATAAAAGTGATCGTTTTTACGACCAACATTTATGAATGTTATTGTAGATCGAACAAATTGCTGATTTGCCTGCAATTAAATAATTATGGTAGTAACCTAATTTATGGCTTACATTCTTAAGTTCTTGCGAGTAAGAGCGATTAGAAAGCCTGTTCATATTGATTTCAATATTATTTCAGATAGCGTCAAAACTTGTCGTGTCGAAGCCAATTCTTATTGTTTTGTAAACTTATCCATGGTAAATAAACTGAAAAGCAGGCTGCACGACGTAGCCTCGACCGCGCACGCTGCGAAAAATCCCTCTGTGGTTCGAAACTAGTAGAGCTTTTCTCAGTACCTATATTCACGTGAGTAACCCGCGATTTTTTTTTTTTAGTTAATTTACTGTTTCTCACGATAGTTATTATAAAACTTATCCATAGTAGTAAATCTACACATAAACTGGACCCCAATGATTAATAATTATCCTACTAATATTATAAATTCGAAAGTTGGTAACTTTGTGTGTATGTTTGTTACACAATCACATCAAAGCGGCTGAAGGGATAGGGATAGATTACGGTCTGCAACAACCCATTGGAAACTTTTTCCCCTCGAGAACGCGAGCGAAGCCGCTGGCAGAAACTAGTCGAGGATATCTCCCCTCCAAAAGAAACAGTAGAATAACATAAGTTTCAACAATATTTGTCATGTCACACATTTACATTCGTAGCCAGACATTCTGGATCAAGCCCAGCAGCTTGTCAATTATTTCCTGATAAATATTTAAATTAATCGAATTAATTATTCAGTAATGTCTACGCTTTGTACCTAATACACAACTGTCACATGCGTGGGAGTCGTACTGTGTTGTGACGTCTCTGTACGACTCAATGAAACTACCTGAGGGACGTGGCAATCGATAGGATAGAAGGGGTTCATTCATTAAATTATAAATAGAATATTCATTAATATTCTGAAGGGTTGAGTTCAGATGTGTTGTGTATACACAGTTAATGGATAGTTACAATACACACGTGAAAGTTTGTGTAGAAACCTATTGTAGGGAAATATTCCACGGAGATAATGGAAACTGTAATTGAGAATAACACATAATGTTTTCAATCCAGCACCAATAAAGTGATTTGCTAAAGACTCCTCTGATGTTATACATGTGATGATTCCACAAGAAACACGGTTATACAAGATTTGCTAAACCAAACTTTTGACCTCCAATACTAAATAACAATGAGGGACAATCAGGTAATCAGCTATTAATAAAACAGCCTGTATTACTATACTAAAAAGTATTATAAGCAATTGAAATCCCCATTATAACAATCGTGAAGTTCTTTATTCTCTGAAGAAAATCTGAGATTTATTTATCAACATCTTATCAGTGTGTCAGAGCGTGCAAGTTATAATCATGGCCAGTAATTAACAGCTGGCCGGGTTAGTTATGAGCTGGGCTTACATAGATTATCATATTAACACCTATAGATAAATACTATTCATTTTAGTTGCGTTAGACGTTAAGTCGCCATGTTCAGGCTGTGTAACTGGTTGTATCATAATTACATATATCTTCTTACTTGACAACATTGAAATTGTGCAATTTTTCTAAAGTAAACACTCAGAGGGTACTTATAATAGTACCTTAGTACTATTGTAGATAAGAGGAATGAAAACACAAGATGGAAACGTCCAAGAATAAGTTATATTTATTTAAATATCTATAAATTCATGGTCAACGTTTAAAGTAAACTAAACGGCAGTTAAAGGTAAGTCAGACTCATCACGAATGTCACAGTCAATCATTCGTCAACTAGCAGTACATCATTAGTTCATCAATAGTGCAGGACTTCTCGCAGCATTCATCGACAGGGCCGCGCTTGCCGCGCATGCCAGCCAGCGCGCCCGCCGGCGGCACCCACCAGCTGCGCTTGTTGAGCTCGGGGCCCCAGCACAGGTTCGCCAACATCTCGGAGAGCCGACGACCGCAGTAGACACCTCGTCCTTGTTGTGCCATGCACACGTAGGCACAGCACGCCAGCACGACAGCGAACAACACAAACTTCATCATGGTGACTGTGGCTGCTGTAGTAACACGAAGCTCCGATGTGTAAGTCCCGGTGAATGGGGTTGGAATGTGTTTCTCCCCTAAAACTCTGCCCTTTTATACCTGGATGTAGCTCATTAATATTCGTAATACCTTATTAGAATATGTCACCTACATGTCCTACTGCATCCCACATTATTACGTAAGTCAGGTTTCCCTCGACGACACAATTACGCACGTCATTACTTCGAGAAAATTGTTAAATATACCGTGGAGATAAATTAACCATCAAGGACATTAACTTTAAGGCTCTTTTCACACGCTCCGGTTACCGGACAGCCGGTATGGAGTATCTGTAAAAGTACAGCAGAATATTCCGTAACGTAAATGGCTATACACTTTGCAGCCGGGTTATCGGTACCGGCACCCGGCAACCGGAACGTGTAAAAAAGTATTTAGAGCCGGTTGCATAATATCTGAATAAGTCGCTGTATGGAAATTATTCGTGGTGGTGAGCCAAGGATGATTGTCAGGCCGAAAGTTTAGCCTTATTTATTTTAAGGATAGTTTGCTGGCCGAATACGAGTACCTACAACAGTATAAAGTTAGTCTTGTGTTACGAGGATCCATGAGCGGCACTGATCGCTTCCCATCATAGGAAGGCCTGTTTGACCTTATCCCATTAAACTTCTAACTTTTTAAAGAATCTTATTTTCCCAATCCCTCGTATTCTGCTACGAGTTACGATGGAACTTAGGTACTACTAATATGGAGACAAAACTATTAGTTATCTGGTGATTGGCTATGCTTAATTTCTAATACATTGTAAGACCATTATGTCAGTATAGGTTGATAGAACAGTATATAGTTCTTTTAAGAACAGTTCAGTTCTTTTAAGAAGAGTGAGACCTTTTCCGGACTTGGAATAGACAGGGAGAAATAGTTTTGCTTTCGATAGCTATCCATAACATCAAGTTTTAACCACTACATCGATAAGACAGGTGTAGCGTAGGTGTGAAGAACATTTTCACATGCCTTGTTTACAGTACCGTACACAAAACCTAGACTAGATCGTCGTATTTTACCTACAACAAATAAGAAAAGTGTGGGAAGTAAGCAACCTAATTGCTCATTACAATATGTCAAAAATCAAAATGCATATTAATGAGCTACCCCGTGGTATAAAAGGGTGGGGTTTGTTGTACAGAGCACATTCCATCCCCATCGTCTGGGACTTACACACCAAGTTAAAGTACTTCAGTTTAACTCTTCAAAGATGATGAAGTTTGTGTTGTTCGCTGCTGTGCTGGCGTGCTGCGCCTACATGTGTGTGGCACAAGTCAGGGGTGGTATCTACTGCGGCCGACAGCTCTCCGAGACGCTGGCGAACCTGTGCTGGGGCCCCGAGCTCAACAAGCGCAGCTGGTGGGTGCCGCCGGCGGGCGCGCTGGCTGGCATGCGCGGCAAGCGCGGCCTGGTGGACGAATGCTGCAGCAAGTCCTGCACTATAGATGAACTAATGATGTACTGTTAGATAAGGTGAAACTTTTGATATTATATTTGACTGATATTGGGATGATGTAAATATATGAACGTCGTTTAAACTGTACATAATTATTGTTTCATTTATGGGTAACCCTAGCTGTAGTTTGGAAAGACAGATCTTTAAAATTGCAAGTTCACACAATAGCAGGTCTAATCTGTATTGTCATAGAATTTAAATTGTATAGTGCTTTGGTATCTGTATTAATAGCAAACTTTAATCCTACCCATACTCCATGATAGTTCCAATTTCCTAACCCCGCCGCAATAACAGTACTTTCCTTAATAAATACTGTGTGGCCAGCTCGGTCAGTCGTGCCTAATGTAAAGCCGTTCAATAACCATCACTTGCCAACAAACGATATTGTTGCATTAACACACTATTACCACACATTATCTTACTATTATATTACACCACAGACACTCGGAACAACTTGCCCTCGACCGTTACAGATATAATTATGTCCGGAGCGACGCGGCGTGGTATAAATACTAAATAATGATTACAGTCGTTAGTTTCCAAGACCATTAAGTGTTTAATAAGTAAAATAGAAGACTATAGCACATCAAGACATCCCAGTCTGTCAAATAAATTGATTTTCAATCTTAACGTATGACAATGAGGTTTAAAATCTGTTTACAAATAGACATTAATAACATAAGTAGTTTGATTTCCGTTTATCTGTCTGTAGTCTTTACATGTTTAGTTAAAGATTCCTGATACTGAATAATTCAGACTAAAGTTGAATAAAACAAAATATTCTGCAAATAAGAAGTAATCCTAAAACAAGTTTCTTCAAGACCTTATATAAGTAGCGTGAATATTTAATCATTCAATTTTGTTACACAGTACGCCTACACAATCTCTGTAAAACTTCAAGATATACAGGTACACCAAGCACACCGAGCTAAAACTAAATGTTTATGTCTAAAACATAAGAACGAGCGAATCCTATCTCCAGATACTGCAAACTATTTCAATATATGCTATTAACGAAAATTTTAAATCGACACCACCAATAACATTTTTACCAGATCCGAAACTAAAACCGATGTTCTTACTCAGCATTACGACCCACTCAAGCAACGATACATCATTTGAATACGAACGATACTTTGTGACAAAAGCTGAATAAGGTTCAGTCCTAACTCCTGCCAGTTATAGTATTTTAACAGGCCATCAAAGCGTTAGTGTCGGTTCATTCAGACCTCTATTACCTCGTTCAATGATGTTTATATACAATACACATGTAAATGTCGTAGTGACGTCACTGAGGTCGCTGGATTACCGGTACAAACTTGTGGCGATGTGACGTTCAGCTTAATATAAGGTTTTTATAGATTCCTCGATTTTACCAAAACATCTAGGCAAAAAGAAATCTGGCCACCTAAACAGCTACATCTAGTAACATTTCTTATCAATTTTAGACGTCAATATCTGTTATGTTATTTATTATATGACCAATCGCATCTAGGTATGCTTAATAGATGCCATTAGATGCGAGCTTTAACCTTTTCGTGATAGTCCGGAAGCTTAAGACGCCCGCTTCTGAAGCATGGGGGTGCAAACCCTACCAACGGTAAGTACTAATGTGACTTCTTCCGAGTTATATGCACTTTCTAAGATTATTTAGACACTACTGACAAACGGTGTAGGAAAACATCGTGAGGAAACCTAAGCTTATAATTTGTAATTATAAGTTTGAAATTGCCAATCCGCATTGAGCAAGCGTGGCGATTAATGCTCAAACCTTCTCCGTGTAAGAAAAGGCCTATAGTCAGCACTGGCCACTTATAGGCTGTCGATGTTAAGGTCGTTGTTTTAACTAAGTGTTACTTCTGTTAAAAAACAATTACCGCATTAAATTTTCCAGCTATTTTCCCATACATCAACAACTAGATTAGTCACTCAAATAATGTAATTTGCATACAATATTAATAGCTATACCTAGATTTAACTCAAACTGAAACTCAAGTAGGTAAGCAGACCTCTAATGTGTCACCTTGAATGAACATGTGAGCGAGCACCCTCTGAAACTGACGCATAAACATTGCGTAGTGCCCACGTATCTTATTTCCAATAGAGATGTTATGGAGTTCCGTAACTAGAACCGAATACCGAAATTAAAACTATTCGTAACCAAATCCGATATCAAAATTGGCGGCAATCTTTTAGATTATCAATATCTTTAGCCCGAATATGTCCACTGATAAGCAATAGCCTCGCAAACAATGGCTACCTGAGGCTCGTACCAAGTCGTTGATCGTCCTAGGAAAAACCCGTATATAGGTACATATTACATTTGTGATTGTTTTGTACTCTATCTCTTTTACACATAAATTCTTAAATAATATATTAAGTGCTGACCCGGAAAATTTCATATCGCCTCAACTTATTTTTCTCACCTTTTAAACATTCCCCGGACTTTCACGAATATTTCAAGACGAAAATTAGCTAAATCGGTTCACACGTTCTTAGGTCTTAGCGAGACTAACGAACAGAAATACACAAATACATACATAACATCACGCCTTTTACCCCCGAAGGGATAGGCAGAGGTGCACATTATGCCACTGTACAATGTAACACCCACATTTCACTATTTATGTTATGAGTCCCATGTAATAGGGGGTGAGCCTATTGTCATATACCGGGCATAATTCCAGACTCCGCGCTACTACTGAGATTTTTTTTAAATCCCAGTAATATTTTGCAAGACCCGGGAATCAAACCCGAGACCCCTTGCCCGACAGTCGCACTTGCGACCACTCGGCCAACGAGGCAGTCAACGGAACGGAAATATAATAGAAAATAATGTTCAATCCCAAATTTTGTACGCTTCCAAATCCGAAATTTTATACCTATCCCATCCCTAGTTTCCAATATGGCGGCACTCTGTACACACTCTGTCACGGTAATATTGTGCTCAAGACACCGTGAGGGCTTACTTAGTTACCTCTTCTAAGATTTGCGGTTTCTTAACTATTTGCATACGAGAACGTCTTAATTCCCTGGTATTTTGTAATTGTTGCTGAGAGGACTAATAGTAATTAGCTGTGTATATGTGTTCATTAGAGATTAAACATATCATATCACAACTATGATAATAATTATATACTTCTGTCCTATAACAGATACATAGATACATGCTGTGATCTAGTATGTACAGGACAAAATGTTCGTGTACCTTTTCCTTCTTACATACTTACAAATCTGCTTAATAATTTGTCTTCTATGTTATGCTTATATCTCAAGACCTTTTTTTTTTAAGGGGGGAAAATCATCGAATGACTGCTCCCGCCTGGGTGAGGCGGGAGGGAGTGTCAGACTCTTACTGACTAAAAACCACCCCGTTCCTTCCCCTGCACGTCGAGTCGGAGCCCCGGTTACCCGTTAGGTTCTTGGGACCTATTGGCATCCTGGGACTAGAGACTGCCTCGTTGGCCGAGTGGTCGTAAGTGCGACTGCCGAGCAAGGGGCCTCGGGTTCAATTCCCGGGTAGGACAAAGTATTACTGAGGTTTTATAAAAATAGTCAGTAGTAGCAAGGAGTCTGAAATGGTGGAATATGATCACCCCCTATTACATGAGACTCATAATATAAATAGTGAAAAGTGGGTGTTACATTGTAAGTACAGTGGCATTAAGTACCGTAATGTGCATTGTGCACCTCTGCCTACCCCTTCGGGGATAAAAGGTGTGATGGTATGTCTCCTAGGAAAGGTTCAACCAATTTTGTAGCCGCTGAAACCGAATCCAGTGAACTGTATAACTGTAGCCATTAATATTCCAGCCGAACCGTTGTAGGCTGTATTGCAAGTACGTGTTACTTCATTCACAGTATCTATCATAACTGCATTACGTTATGCAAGCTTTAAATGAGAAGTGAACCAGCCTACCTACTATCTAGTTCAGATATTATTAACTAATGAATTCAAATTGAATCAATTACTTGCACCCTCCGTTAATTGTCTATTCTAGTCAGAATTATGCATTAGTTGCGTGTAAATGTAATTAATTAAACGTTTAGGTCAGTCAAATGTTAAGAGGAACTGGGAAAAAGGACTAAAATTGTTATCATGTATAAACTATTTACTATTGCCATGAATGTCTCCTTATCCTTCACAAAGAGTTAATGTCGTATTGATTGTCAAACGAAATGAAATATCTTCACAAATTTCTTATTACCTATATTGGTAGCCACTGAAGTTACTAATGGCTTAAATATTGTTAATCAGAGACTGTTTAATAAAAATAAGTCAAAGGACGTTGAAAAAAGTTGGACGTAATGTCACTTAGAAATGATTGAAGCACCAAAATGTCAGTGGTGTATCTATGTGTGCAACACATAATGTATGAAGTGTAATGGGCCATGTCACGCGACAGATGTCCTTCGTGTCAATGTGTGTGTATTCTGCGTGTAAGTCTAGAGTAGCCAGGTGCTACAGTCGTTGTTTGAAAAGACTGTGTCCGTCTTTTTTTCCACGTCCTTCCATAGGTAAGTAACTTTAAACCCCTAATTAGTAAGTATTAGTGTAGTGTTGTGTACACTCAGTAAGTGGACCTAAGACATCGGATCAGACATGAAATGGCAGATGGTATTTCGGCGTAGCGGACTAAAGGCAGACCTTCATTCTGTAGTGGATATCTTTTGGCTAACAGTAATGATAGATATTATCTTCTATACTTTCCTTGCTTCTAATTAATGTTACGTACTATGACATCGAACGGACACTGCAGTATCAGAAGCCGTACAATTAAGTGCATGATCGATTATGCGACAGTTTGTTTACCCACTGAGTTTATATTGAAAGTATAAAACTGTTAACCCTAGATGTTTTCAATGCCTATATTGCCCTAGGTTCCAAATCAGTTAATTCGTGGGTTGTGTGATAATGTGTAGAAATGGTCTAAAAATGGAAAACCAATTTAATTTCTTAAAATAGACTGTTGAAATATCACAAGATTGATGACATTAGTCAACAATATTGACATCTTTCGCAATTTGTTGTGACTGCTTTATTAGTTTTGGATATAATTACTTGACAGTTTCCAAACTGAACAAAGTGACGGTCCATTATCCATAAAATCCGTAACCGGGTCTGCAGGCCACCGACCATTTACGACCATTATAAATACACATATTGGTACACACGAAGATGGTTAATATATGGCCAATAAAACCATT